AGAAAGACTTTCCCATTTTGTGCTTATAATAAGCTATTTCAGACCAACGACATACAGCGGACAGTCCCAGTTAAAAAGAAAAAGAAAATCTCGAAAAGCAGAAGAGAAGCCTCCTACGCGAAAGGGTGTGAAATGGTATATGAAGTGAGACTTGGAATTGCTTCTACGAGACTGGGAATAGTGCTAGTAAATGTAAAGGGTCCTATACAAACAGGTCACCAAAAAGAAAATCCAAATCAGTACTTTTCATAACATCTTGGCAGTGTGTTCGGTATGCTATGCAAAAATTCGGAAAGAATCAGGACGCATTGTTGCAAAATCGAAACCAAAATTAATATAGGTACAAATATTGCGACAAGAGTACTGCCGCAAATATGTGCGTCATGTTTCAATGAAAAACATTTATAAAATGTTTTAGTGATTTTTTTCCTTCTGTAGTTAAGAAAGACTTTCCCATTTTGTGCTTATAATAAGCTATTTCAGACCAACGACATACAGCGGACAGTCCCAGTTATAAAGAAAAAGAAAATCTCGAAAAGCAGAAGAGAAGCCTCCTACGCGAAAGGGTGTGAAATGGTATATGAAGTGAGACTTGGAATTGCTTCTGCGAGACTGGGAATAGTGCTAGTAAATGTATGGGTCCTATACAAACAGGTCACCAAAAAGAAAATCCAAATCAGTACTTTTCATAACAACTTGGCAGTGTGTTCGGTATGCTATGCAAAAATTCGGAAAGAATCAGGACGCATTGTTGCAAAATCGAAACCAAAATTAATATAGGTACAAATATTGCGACAAGAGTACTGCCGCAAATATGTGCGTCATGTTTCAATGAAAAACATTTATAAAATGTTTTAGTGATTTTTTTCCTTCTGTAGTTAAGAAAGACTTTCCCATTTTGTGCTTATAATAAGCTATTTCAGAAAAAAGATTGTGTTATTTGATATACACGGCCAGACAGTGAGAGATGCGTGTCTCTCGAAAATGAGCGACACTGCCCCCGAGGAAATGTTGGTGTCTCTCATAGGTACCGACCTATATGATTGACGTGGCACGCTTGTTTTGAATAATTCAGCAGGAATGCCGTCAGTACTAGCTGACTATTGTTATTTAGTTGTCTGATTGCCTTTACAACCTCGTCTTATCTGTGTACCTCGGTGAGCTCAGTTCTTGTTGTATTAAATTGAAGAAGTAGTCCATGACCGACTGAATGTTGTATTGTCATTATTCACTTATGTTTCTCTGTTAAGAAGTATGTATCATATTTCTCTATGGTATAATAACATTTGTAATTTATTCAATAAGGCCTTAGTTCCTTATCTTCTAAAATAACATCGGCCATACCAATCTAAGTACCCAACCGTCCTTGTTGTGATTTGATTTCCAGGCCGCATTTGGAAAGATCCTTTAGTGAATTGACAATGTAGAAAAATTGCATCAGGTCAACAATGAACGAACAAAGGCTGCGTGATACACAGGGTGGGGCACGAAAAGCTTCCCACCCAGGCTTTCTCAGTTGCTAAGCACCATTTCTTTAATTCTCCTGTTTGCCATTGAACTTCTGCTTTTGCTTGTTGGTATTGCCTTTTTATTAGAGTCGAGTTGGGGTCGCGATCCCCTGCATTATGCGCTCCTCTTACAAATACAACTTAAGTGAATGAACAATATGCCGAAAACGATCAAGAAACATTCTATTACGAATCCGAGGTTAACTCACAAAAAAGTTGCGATTATTCCATAAATTATGACCCAAATTCAAACAAAGACCATCGAACAGCTGAGAATGAAATACATCTGACGATATTGAAGAATTAAATGCTTAAATAGTCGATTCAACGCACCCACAATCCTAACATTACCTGCATCAATATCTTTAACTAAAGTTAACTCAAGTGAGCTGTCCTACGTTGTCCTGAATGTATTATCTTTCTTTGAGATGGTGGCTTAACTAACTCAAAAGTTCTATCCACATTGACAATCTTAAAATCATAAAATGTCGCAAAGCTAAAATATACTACCACAAAGGATTCTTAGTTTAGTACTTATTTATTTGCAAAAATCAAGTTACAGTTCCGGAGAACGAATAAAATGAAAATAATATTACAGTCTCCCTACGTAGGTACCGAAGTGCTAGTGAAAATTAGAACCAGTATAGACAATGGTGAAGTTATAATACCAGAAATTGCAAAATTTTTAAATTCCAAACTCGACCGGGAGATAGGGACTGTTTAGTGGAGTAATTTTTTTTGTTGTCTGGGTTTGAGGGCTGAATGTGGCTGATGAGAATATAGGCCTTGGCTGATATAAATCCCTGGCTATCGGCTCGGATCACAAACTTCAGCCCGGCTGTTATTTGATATTTATCGGCATTATAACGTTAATAACTATTAGAGGTGTCAATGCCAAAATTTTACCAGACCACTAGCCTCTACCAAACATTACACCTACCTGCTAGACAAATAAGGCATCAATAGGGTATCAATATTTCACAACCCTAGATTTGATGGCTAGTGGATTCATCAGAAACAAATGAACGAATAAGATATTGGAAAAACAGCTTTTAAACAAAAATGGTCCTTTCGAATCTTTACGAATGCCATTTGGGCTCATAAACGCCCCCGCCAACTTTCATAGAGTGATGGATGGTATTCTACGAGGTATTCGTAACGAAAAATGCCTTGTCTACCTTGATGACATCTTCATTTTCTCAACTTCACTATAATAGGACTTAGACGTGACTTAGAGCGCCTTCGAGCTGTATTTCAAAGATTAAGAGAAACTAATTTCAAGATTTCTCAGACGCGCAGTAGCCTACTTAGGACATACTATTACCTGAAGGAGTGAGGCCCAATCCTGATAAAGTTGAAGCAATCAAAGATTATCCAATATCCAAAACAACTAAGCAAATCAAAGGATTTCTCGGATTACTTGTTTAAAAACAACTCTTTATTTATTTATTTATTTATTTTTTTTTTAAGCGAAACGCCAATTAGTTACAGAATTTCAAGTAAAAAAAAACCCATAACTTAAATACCTAAGAATTAAGATAAAATTGGTATAAAATACAAAACTAGAACAACGAAAATGTATATAAAAACAAAAATGTATATAAAAACAACATAAACTATTATCATATTTAGAAAAGTTACATCTTTAATTTTGTTTCCAAAGAAAATAAAAATTCAATAAAAATATCACCCTCAAATGAATTTGTGTTTCTTATCAATCTTGACATGGGAGATAATAACCGTACAGGGTGCGATGAAAATTTGTCTCAAAAGTTCTATCATTTCTAAGAATTCTTTGTGGAACATAAAATTGAAGTTTAGAAACAAGTTGAGGTCTGAGGACAATTCAGTGCATTGTTAACCAATTTAAAACAAGTAATAATATCGACACTATCTTTACGTCTTTTAGGACTTTGAATGGATAGAGTTTGTTCAAGATTGCCATAGTTTACATTTTCGACATTAAAGTGTAACATATCTCAAAAACTTCCTTTGGTACACTTTCCAATTTATCAATGTAAGTTGAGTAGTAAGGATTCCAGATTACAGAACAATTTTCCAGGTGAGGTCTGACAAGGGCGGTATATAACAATTTCATGACATCTTTGGTATTTGGTATTTGGTATATTATAACTAGCATTTACAGTGGCTTTTTAACTCAAAAGATCCCAGTTCAAAACTAGTACGTTGGCGGATAAAAGTACAGAAACGCTTAGGCACTAAACAAATATGCCTTTAGCAGTGACTATTGAAAATACTCTTCTTTATGAAAAGAACATTCAACTAAAATCTTTTGTACTTAACAACAAAATAACTTATCTTCTTCACATACCTATAATGTACCCTGAACATTTTGATTATTTCCATCTATATTCAACACCAATCTATACGCAGAGTCAGCTTAAAGTCTTACCACAAAATAAATATATTCTAAAAAATTAATTGCACTACACACATTATGACCGAGATGCGAGATGCCAAAACATTCTTCCTGGATTCCATGTATGTAAGAAAGAAGACCTTCAAGAATTTCAAGACCACAGCCCTTGAGACCTTGAGAAGCAAAGCTACTAACCTTGTATGTATGTGTATGTATGTGTTGGAGGTGTCAGTTGCACCGCGTTGGTCTATTGTACCCCTCCTTTTGCTGCTAAGTTCGGGTTTCTTGCTCCTCGGACCTAATAATCAATAAAAAGAAACTCATCGAACTAGATATTGAGCATATACTATTTCCGGATCTTTCAAATGACAATACAGTGATAGATGCCTATTATAAACTTGAGTCTGCATCAAAAACAAAGACCTAAAACTGGATAATCTACACCAACTAATTAATGATATCATTGAAAAGCGTTCTCAATTGAACTTCAGTGAAATCAGAAGGTTGCCAAGTCTAGGAACGGTATACTGGTTATTGGTAAACATTCTAATCTTTGTTGGTTCTGCTATTCTTGCCTACAAGAAGCTAGTACCGACTAACGAAACTCAGAAGCAAGAAGAATCATTTTGAAGAGGAGCATTTTAAGAACGGAGGAGTTATAGAGTTATATCATGCTAAACTGATGAATATGAATAAAGATGCGTATTCAGCTCTCTAGCTTACTATTATACCTTGCCGCTGGACATCGCCAGTCAGTTGTTGAACAGTAGGTATTATAACTATATTTTTACTCTATACTGTTGTAAGGCATTCCACGACTTAAACATGTTTGTAACTTAGTAGAAATAAACTTGTTTTTTAAAAATTTGAAATCGGCACGCGGTTTGATAACTCATGCTTCACCTCTTAACATATAACATGTCGCATTTTCCAATGCTAAATAGAGGTATACTTAAGTTCGTACTGCATTCGAAAGGTTTTGAAAAATTCAGGTTTGGTAACTTTTTTTACAGTTGTAATTTCGTGCACCTTCAATCAAAGAGAATTTTCTCATTAACTTCTAGCGCTAGGTTCACATAGCTATAATAACTCGATGTATAATAATTACTCACCTGACAAGAGAAGCTGTAAGCGGTGAAGTATTTAATCACAAATATTTGTTCAATGTAGTGAATTTTTTCCATTAACTCTCTTTTAATAAACAGAAAAAATCCAATCGGCGGATACCATCCTTAAAATAACAAGATTTGATCAACAAAAGAATTTTCCACTAATAAAACTTACTAGGTTCATAATTTATTGATTCTTCTGAGTTGTTATTAGTATAAACTGATGCCATTTTCGACTGGAATTTTGATGATGAATAAATTATGAATGCTATATGATGATGACGTTTCTTTGACGGGTTCTTTTTTTGACAAATGGTTAGTAAAAGCCAAAATTGTTTTTAGAACTTAATTTATTATAATGTAGAAAATCAAGGCACGGCACACAAACAAAATATATACCTATACAGCTATTATAAAATGTACAAAAAATTAACCTATTTTAAAAGCAGTCACAAGATTCTCCATTTTTAACACAAAAAATAAAAAACACTAAATACGATGTAACAAAAAACTATTATATAATTAAATACTTGCCAATATATATGTGGAAGTTATATGTTTATTACACTTAAAAATATACCTCGTCTCTCTGATGACGTTAATGCAACTTGAAATATAAATACTAATGTATAAGATTGAAATTTTTGGCAAACCCCATTATTATTGCTTGGGTCAAAAAATAGGTAAATATTTTGATTCGCTAAAAAACGGTGGCCTGATTCCTAGAGAGCTAGCCTTGTTTTCGTTTTGCTCCAGATTAAGAAACTGAAATTTAACTGAAACCCAAAATTCAAATCGATATTACATAACTTTCTGACCCTATTTCAATAAAAATGTCACCGCCTATGACCCAGAACTTTATTTTTCTCGATTTTCGGTGACAACTAATTAAAGATGACAAGGTCGCCTCTCTATATTTTCGATAAATCTCTATGTCGATTAATAATTTTTGAAGAAAACAACCGAGATAAGTTATTTGACGGCGCCAAAATTAGTAAAGTGTGTTAACGATGACAGTTTCGTATCCGGCTAGGGCTAGACTTACCGGAAAAATTAAAATTCCTGAGACTGAATTTATTTTTGTATAAAGTATTAAGGCCTGTTTGTTCCAACAAGAAATCTATTGAGGAAGGGTCTACGGTTCTGCAAACAGGGTTTTTAAAAAGATATTAACATATTGACGATGCGAATCGAATATGGCCACTGCGACAACTTCATCAGATCGGGGGTTATCAAGTTATTATTCTGTTAGACATTTTCACTTCTTGTGGAACCGTAGACATTTTCCTAAATTATTGTCGAAAATAAACAAACTAAGGTTTGCGCAATAACAAAACGGAGTCGCGGATTGTAATTAACATCAACAGGTGACGTGGCGTTGTTTAGACAACAAAGATTTATTTGGAAAAATTTTGGGCACTAAAATCCCAAGTCAGCTAACGTTAGTGAACGAAAACATACTCTCTCTTACAAATTGGACACATGTCGGAATTATTCAAACACTGTCTCAAACAATAGGCGTGAAACATGTGCTGACAAGGTGTAACCCTAGCTCTCAGCATCGGACTCAAGCACACCGCACAAACGTCATCGCAATTTTCGATTTCTTCTTCAGTGGCATAGCGAAATTTTCCTAAAATTGCTTGTTCGGTTTTTAAGGATTTCAGACACGTCATTGCAGTGTCTTTAATTTTCAAGTAAACTGTTAAGTAAGAAGCGACAAGAGTGAATTGAATGTGCCCGTAAAAACCTAGAAATACCACTAAAATTATCGCTACGCTTATGGTGTAACAACGTAAAATAACTGGAGCGTAGAATTGTTCTAGAGCTTCGAGTGATTTGAATTTTAACAAAAGCAGCAACGGCAAAAACATTTCCACGAAAACCTTTTCAGTGCACATATAATAAGTCCAAGTAACAAAAGTGTACAAGGCTGTAGGATGGTAATTTTGTAAGCCTTGCTCTAGCCCGAACACCAACAACATAAACGTAACAGTAATTATAAACGTAACAGCCTTAGTCCATTCCAAAACAATTTTCGTAGCTGACATGGCTAGGTGTTTTATGTTGCTATGCTCGGTCATGTTGATTGTAACTGACCAATCTTCTTTTTCTATGAGTTCTTTGATGTAGCTGACGCAATAGGCTATGACGTTGTAGAACATGAGGGAGTAGAGACCAGTCACTTTTTTTTCTGGACAATTACGACCACCGAAGCTGCATAGGAGGACTCTGTCAGAGAGCATGAAGAACACCAACTGGAAAAGAAGAAAATTAATTGAAGTTTGTTTTATTAGGAAATTAGGAACATGGATGAGAAAGAATAGGTACTTATATTTTAGATTTGATGTTTTTCCGACTCAAGAAATATTTTAATGTTTCGAGGTAAATTGGTGATTGAAGTGAAAATCTACTTAAAATTGTTTTTTTTAGATTGGTACCATTATCAATTCTCCTAAGTTAAAAGATCGTTAACACCGGACGTAGTGCTTGGAAAAAGAACTTCTATTTACATAACACAGAGAAAACAATCGGTCATGCTATTATCTATGAAATGGCATATAGGTTAGGGTTAGGTTGGGTTAGCTCATCCAACCCTGAGCATGTGGTGTTTTAGCCTACAGTGTCCAGTGTATAAGCCGATTAGGGTTTTCAGATTGGTCCTATCGAGCTCCAGCATCCTTACAACCGAGCGTTCTTTCACCGGTTGTCTTATGCTTGCCTTTGCTTGTGTCATCCCTGGCAGGTTTAACCAATGTTCCCAGGCTTTGTTGTTCGCCCAGCTTTCAAAGGCTTGATTTGCCATATCATGGGCAATGCCCAGCACAGGCTCTGGCCCTGTGAAATTGGTTGCGGCTCCCCTCTGACAAAAAACTCTGCCATTTCGTTGCCCTCAATGACAGGTGTCCCGATATCCACATTAGGGTTACCTTGTTTTCCTTCCCTAATTTGCTTAGAGCTTCCTGACAGCTTAAGACTGTTCTAGAATCACATTATTATCTGGAGTTAAGAATCTTGAGTTCGGCTTGGCTGTCAGAACATATTTTCAATGGCATGCATTTCCGCTTGAAAGATGGTTGCATTGTTCCCTAGACTGATGGACACCGCCCGGTTCCACCCCGCTGTCTGTCTACCATCCGTGAACAGACATAGATCTGCTTTTAGTAGGGCATGCTCATTCTGCACCTACTTTTCGCTTCTTGTGAAAGCCACTATGTAGGGTAGGGCGCTTGTTATGTTTGTTTTTGACATAAAATCCATAAGCATTCAAAAAACGCTATGTCTTTCGATAAACTTTAGTTTGGTGCCTTTCACGTTACCTTTGTCAGCAGAGATCAAGTGGTCTCTGCTCGTGTGGTATATTCTGTAGGTGGTTTTTTTTTCCAGATAGATGGCTGCTGTTGGTAGTGCTAAAAGCTCCAGTTATTACCAAACAGGCCTGTCCATTGAGCTTGGTTTGGGCAGTGCGCTGTCGCCCCCTCTCCCAACTGACTACGGAGCCATATGTTACATTAGTCTGATGACGATGATAGATAACCAGTATATTTGCTTGGGTTCAATTCCCTATAATTTGCCACAGACCATGCGGCAGGGCCATATATTGAATAGCCGTTGAATTTCTGTTTCATTTTTGCCAGTTGGAAGTTCCTGGTGAGCCTTTCATCTCGAGTAATCTCTAGATATTTGACTTCGTTCGCAAACGATTCATCTTCAAGAAAATGTGAAAATGCAAATAGATCTTTATTAGTTGATATCCAGTATTTGTCATAACTTTAGTAGTTTCATATAATTTCGAGTTGATAAAATTCTTGATTTGTCCCGAGTAAGTACTTGACTGCCAGAAGATATGAGTAAACGATACAATCTTATTGAACCATCTATGTCAGGAAAAAGCTTCACAAGCTGAAGGCCATGTGAGTGTGATTGGACTTTCAGTTTAAATATTTTTTCCTAAATAGTCGTCCTACTTCGTCTCTTATTTTCATTTTCATTGGGTACACCAACTTCTATACCATTTTTTATAGTCTGGAGTCAGTGACTTTCAGTCAAATCAAATCAAATCAAATAAGCTTTATTGTCAAAAAACAATTATTAATGTTGTAGACAAAGCAGGCCTTAATCCTAATTCATTATATATCCCACGTCATAACAAGGATAAAAATAAAATGATCCACAACAATTGAAGGTAACACATTAAAAATTGTTAACGGATACCAACTAGCATCACTAGCACTTACAAATTAACATAAAAAATTAAATCAAAATAAGCTATAATTTATTTTATTTTTTTCTTTACAATTATAATAAAAACCAACATATACCTACTTATTAAAAATAAGAATATTAAAATCAAAAAATAAAAAACAAAAAAATTGTCAAGTTAAAATATAAAACCAGAAAAACAGAACAAAATATTACAAAGAAATAATCACGTTAATATATCACAGTCATATTCTCCTATGCTATAGTATGGCCTAGTATAAAGCATTTTTTTAACAGTTCTTCTAAAATTCTTGTTGCAATGAATTGATCTTGTATTTAACGGCAGGTGGTTATATATTTTAAGACCTTCAAATATTACCGAGTTCTTGGTTAAACCAGACCTTGGAATTGGGAGAGGTAAGTCCCACTCACATTACGCATGGCATAGGCAGAATTGCGTCTCTGGCCTTTGAATCTTTTATGCAACAAACAGACCGTTTCCAATATAAATAAGCAGACCACAGTAAGGATCTTTTCCTTTATGAAAAGGGGTTTACAATGTTCTCGCGTCCTTGCATTGCAAATATATCGCAAGGCCCGCTTCTGCAGTATTAGGACCGCATTTAAACATGTTGCATTACAATAGCCCCAAAAGGCCACCCCATACCGAAGATGGGATTGAATCAAGGAAAAGTATACACTCCAGGCTATATGCCGTCCCAACTCCCTGGACACTACCCTTACAGCATAGCACCCTCTAGATAATTTTTTACACAAATACTCCAAGTGCTCTGTGAACTTCAACCTTTTGTCAATGATTACACCCAAAAATCTTGTAGAGTCTCTTTGATGTATCACACTATCCTGAAAAACTACATCTCCCGAATCAAACCTAAAACCCAGAACGCTTGTTTTATCCACATTAAAACATAAAGAGTTACAGTCACACCACAATTTTATCTTGGTGAGGTCGCTCTGTACCACGGTCATCAATTCTCTCTCATTCTTACCACTCCACAAGAGAGTAGTATCATCTGCAAATACTGTAAATCTTGCTTATACGTCTATTCGAGTTAAATCATTGATGTATATCAAAAATAGAAGAGGGCCCAAAACAGACCCCTGTGGAACACCTGCACGAATTTCCAATGTGTCAGATATGTTCCCGCTCCCGCTACATTTTACCAGCTACCTTCTACCCGAGAGATATGACCTGAACCAATTCAGAGCAACACCCCTAACCCCGTAGCACTCCAGCTTAGACAATAGCGTCCTGTGACTGACACAGTCAAACGCCTTAGAGAAGTTGCAGAACACTGCTGCAGCGACCTCTCCGTCGTTTAGTTTCGTGTACAAATTCTCCAAGAAAGAGAAAATAGCATCATCAGTATTCCTGTCAGCCCGAAATCCAAACTGATGTTCAGAAAGTACTTTATGGGACAGAAGAAATCCTAGTAACCGTTTCTTAACTAACCTTTCGATTATCTTTGAAATAGTTGGAAGTAGTGTTATTGGGCGAAATTTTGAAGGGAGATCCGTGTCTCCGCTTTTGTAAATGGGGACAACAACCGCCAACTTCAGACAATCTTCATGATTTTACATTCAACCAGTTAGAGGTTCAATTTACCATGTATCATTGCAAACATGATTGATCTCTTTAAATTTACCCATGCTTTTTCCAAAATCCTCAGCAGTCTATTGAGCAAGATGCTGGAGGAAGATTGAATGTCCATTGAATTTTTTCAGCAGTCATTTTGATACAAAACAGTATTATTTTAGCTTCGATACAATCCAGGAGTATCTTGCTGAGAAACATACGCGGGTTCTTGACAAAGTAACTAACCATACAAACCTTTGTTCGATGCTAACTAACCCTGATAGGACTATTTTCAGAAATTTGAAAGCTTGAAAGCTGCACTTCTCTTTCTAGTGAATGAAATCCCCTTCCCTCCTTTCCCATCATTCCTATCCTTTCACAACTCCTCTCCCTTTCCCTGAACAAAAATTAACTTAAAACACAAAATCGCGTAAGCTAGAGTGCTGTCGCACTAACGCAGTATTAAAGACAAGAGAAGAAGTATGATTTTAAATACTTGAAGGAGATGGAATTCACCAGAAAAGCTTCAAGAATACGAGAACAGATAACTTAATGGAGAAAGTCCTCCAATTCGTTGAACGAAAGAGAATTTCTGGAAGCTGGATACTTGCTGCTCAAGATAGAAGAGATGAAGTATAAAAGGGGCTTTTGCTTAATAGCTTACGATCATGATGATGGGTGACTTTCTTCTAATATATTGTCCGGATTTGATATAGGAAAGGAGTTAAATGTTGAAGAACTAAAATTGGTGGACATAAATTTCTTAGCTGAATAACCACGGGTAAAATTAACACAGGCTTTTTATTTATTTATTTATTTATCAAGGAGCAATTATTGCCCAATTAAAAGACAAGTACCTATAATTAACAAGTAAGAATCTTAACCTATTAACATTTTTTTTTTTTTTTTTTCAATTTCTTTAATTATAAATTATTTAGGGACATTAAAATATCACAGGGTACCGGACTTTAGCTGGGATTTAAAAACTTTTTGATTATCAAAACAGTCCAACCTGTCAAAATACTGATTGGCAAATCTAGCCGACCTTGACAGAAAAGAATTATATCCGTAGTTAGAACGATGGTGTCCAATTTGGAAAGGCTGATTAAGCCTTGTTTGTCTAGAAGGGACATGGATATTGACTTTTGCCAGTAGCTCTGGATCAAAGCTATATGAGTGCAGTAGATTATAGAATATGGTAAGATCCCTGTGCATGCGTTTGATCTGAAGAGTAGTAATATTAAGGGAACTTTCAACCCGTGAGTGATTGATGACTTCAACTTCATGGCGTTCCTTAAATGAAATAAATCTCAAGAATTTATGTTGGATTCTCTCAATAGCCTGGATATGGATATTGTAGTGGGGGGACCATACACAAGAACAGTAATCTAGATGAGGCCTCACAAGAGAACAGAATAATATTTTGATGGATGCTATATTAAGAAAATCTTCAGCACACCTTTTAACAAAATCCAGGATTTGAAGTGATTTTGATACTACCATTGATATATGGGGTATGTAAGATAAGTTGGAATCAAGGAGTACACCTAGATCTAAGACGATCTAAGTCGACTTGCAGCTCTAGGCAATCAGTATTATTCTTGATTCTTATGTATAATTTTAAGTCATCTGCAAACATTAGGAAGAAGGCAAAGACAAAAGAGGATGCAATATCATTCTCATATAAATTAAAAAGAAGAGGGCCCAGGTTGGAGCCTTGGGGTACTTTAACTTTCTATTGATTGGAAGCCCTGAATACGCACTATCTGTGTTCTTTCATATAGGTAAGAGGAACGCCATTCTAGAAGGACACCCTGAATTCCCAGACTCTGCAACTTATTAATCAAAACTCTATGGTTAACCCGATCGAACGCCTTTGCAAAATCAGTGTACACAGCATGAACTTGATAACCCCACTCCAAGGATTCCAAGAGATAGTCAGTAAATGTTAAAAGATTAAGTTCGGTGGAGCGATGAGAAATGAATCCAAATTGTTGATTGATAAAACAGCCTTTTAAACTAGCAGACAAGTAATCACAAACAAGACTCTCAAATACTTTAGGGATGAAACTTAATATACTGATGGGCCGATAGTTATTAACCTGTGAACTATCTCCAGACTTTAATATAGGAATAATAAAGCTTGTTTTCCAATAGGCTGGGAATGTCCCGGTCTTTAAAGAGAGGTTAAAGATATGGAAAAGAGGTCTAGAGAACAAGAAGCTACAGTGTTTGATAAGTGATGGTGGGAGGCCATCAGGTCCTGGTCCCTTGTTAATATCCAACTTGGAATGTTTTTCATAAATAGACGAGATAGCTACTTCAGAAGAACTAGTAGCAAAATTATAACGCATTACAGAAGGTATATTATTTTTGTCTTTTCTGCTGTTGACAAATTTCCAGAAGTTTTTAACATTATCTCTAAGAGAAGATTTAGTTAAAGCAACGTAACTTTGATAACATTCTTTTTTTAGGTGTTTACAGTGAGCCCGTAATAAAGAAAACTCATTATAATCATCTAGTGATCTACTTCTACGGTATTTCTTATGCAATTTTTTTTTTCAATTATCGTTTGTTTTAGTTCTGGAGAAAACCAAATAGGAAACTTCTTTGCTGTTTACTTTCTCAAAGGAACAAAAATATCAATTGTTAGGTAGACAATGTCGTAAAAAATATTAACCATATCCTCAAGAGATTTGTTCTTGAATAAATCATCTCAGTTAAACAGAGAAAGAAAACTTGATACTTCTTGAACATTCATCGACTTAAAATCCCTATAATAGCTATCCCCAGTCAATCCCGAGTTGTTAAAACCGCAGATCAAGTAAGCTGTCGTTAACATTTCTAACTGAGTTAAGTTGATAAAGGTTATGGTATGAACATAAAAATGAAAGAACTTGTATGGATTCAACTTCGTTTGGTGGAACTGACAGTACCTACGGAAGATTAAAATCTCCCAGGATACAAAGTTTGTGTTCTGGATATTTTTCAGATAGATTCTCAACACTCTCACTAAACTTCACATACTTTTCTGGTGCACTTCGGGGTGGGAAATAAGCTGTTGCAAATATAAAATTGTTGTTACCACTTTGGACTTTAACAAACAATTGCTCAATATTTATGGTAGCTGATAAAACTGTGCTGGTTATGGTTTTACGGCCAGCTATTAGTACCCTACCTCCTCTAGAGACAATACTTGTATCTGATGATCTGTCCTTTCGATATATGTTGCAGTCAAACATTTGTAGTTCAGCATCATCATTTGAAAATAGTGTTTAAGCTGCCACAACACCCAATGATTTGAAATAGGCACGCATCTCTAGCTCTATTCTTATAGGTAATTCAAATGAATTTGATTGATAAAAGTGTTTTGCTTTAATTTTTTTTCCAAATAACACATCTGAAGACTGGAAATCGCATTTTGTTTTCCTAGAATTATCAGATTCCCTAAAGTTTGCAGAAACAGTCTGTGTCTGCTTGCAAAGTACAAGTCTTTGGCTGGTAGAATAGATGGAAATTTGGAATTCCGGATATTTTCCCTTTCTGCAAGTTCGTCTTCAATTAAAAAATTCTGAATTCATCTTCAAAATACATTATAGATTCTTAATTTCCTGGTTATCACATACCATTATTGTTCGCTATTTCTTTCTTATAATTTTCAAATTCCTTCGGAGGCAATCATTCGTTCATCAATATTTACTTCAATGTCTTTCTAAATTTTGAAAATTACGAATATATTCATTTCTTCTCGAATGAGTCTGTCCTTGAGATCATTCGAGAATTTACTTTCTGAAATTTCCTTGGGTGAGCAACCTCAGAAGGTAAATCTGCCGGATTCATATTTCCCGAGACATGTGCCAGTTGGTTCATTTGGAAATTCCATTTACCAAACATTGAACCAGTTATCCATTTATAATATTCCATCTGGTAGAGGTATAGTATTTGCAGAATCAATTGAAACAAGGTAATAATAAATTGCAACTGATGGCTGACTAGTGGCAATGCATTTCTTATGAAAATATTCAGTCACCAGTTGTGATTTACCGTTACCTTGTTCCAACTGACTTTGGAAGGACTATACTTCAGACATTCCAGCCAACAAGAGTTTGCAGATTTTTTGTAATAACGATTTATTCTGTTTTGGAAACCTAGATAACAAAAACCTTCAGAGTAAGTAAGCTTGTCCCATTTCCAACCAAGAACTGAAATTGTAGAATTCTTTCTGTTTTTGTAGAACTCCCAACATCTCAACGTAGCAATATCTTCAAAATGTTCTTGGAGAAAGCCTTTGTAATATTTGAAATATTGCCTAAAACGGTGTTAATCCGACAAAATTATTATGTTCATTTCTTCTTCTCTTGACACCTTCAATTCCATTGATGGTTCTTCTCAAAATATAAATGATGTTGAGGACCATCTATCTACAACAGCACCGATTCGTCTGGTTCTGTCTGGAATAATTATGATCTTGACAGACAAGATTAGAAGAAATATATGGATATGGGCCTGCTGTTGGTCAATACTTATTCCATTGCTGGAAGGGTATCATATGACCTATAATGCCATTTAAGATTTTGAAGTTAAGGTGGCCACGGCCGGAGGGGTGATTCAGGGAGACTTGAAAAGTAACTTGCTTTGAGTCCCCCTTCCAACCCTCCAAACGGGTTTTTCTTTTTTTTTTATCGATTACCGTTTTCAAGATATAGGCCATTGACAGTTTTCGGTGGAACACCCGGTATATTGACGACAGGTAAACGAAAATCGAGTAAACAAGGTTAATACAAATATATCCAAATTAGACACAGTAGAGCAGTATAATCTCGATAGCTTTTTAAAGATGAGTCTACAAAATTCTTGTATAAATTACGACCAGCAACACATCTCCGGGAATATTCGAAAATATGAAGAAATTACAAGAAAAATTCATGCGGCAGCAAAAGAAGTGCTCGGAATTCAAGACACACTTTTGAATGATGGTCAGAAGACCCAGAAAGGCTAACAAAAGCCAAAAAGGTAGCTTACCAGAAGCGGTTAAGTTCGGCTAAATTCAGAAGATGGGAGAATATACATATAGATAACTGAATAGGAAGGTTAAGAAAGGGATGGCAAGGCAGAAAAACGAAACATGGGAGAAGCGATGCGAAGAGATCGGAAGATGTTTGAGAGGTTCAAGGGTGGTAGCAACATGGAAAGCTATAAAGAAAGTGAGGAATGGTAGAAAGGACGTAGCGAATGTACAGATAATATCTATGGAAAAATGTACTGATCACTACAAGAAGCTGCTGACAGAAAAAAAGGAAAAATTCAAGGGAAAGATTGAGGAGATTGGAGAAGAAGAAGTAAATGATGTGGAAGCCATAACGGCGAAAGAGGTTAGAACAAATGTACAAGATAATATGAAAATGAGAAGGCTCCGGGGCCAGGGATCATTCTTATCGAGCTAATCAAATGTGTGCCAGAAATCGTGATGGAAATTCTAGCAGATATATACAACGATCTTTTACTAAAAGGGCACACTATACCTGCAGACTGGAATATCTCACACTCACACATAAGTTCCATCCACAAAAAAAAAATTCAAAAAACTTGTAGAAACTATAGAGGAATAAGTAGATATACATTCAGGAGGCCTTGAAGAACTGGAAAAATAAATGCTCTGGTATGGGAATGGAATAGAAGTGGGAGAACATTATTTGTCCACACTATTCTTTTCAGACGATTAGGAAGTAATAGCTAGCTGTGAAGAGGACCTGGATTACATATATAGAAAACTTAAGGACGAATATGAACAGTGGGGAATGAACATAAACCAAAGCAAGTATGAATACTTTGGAAGCTTGATATCAACAGGGAAAATCAGAGCGACATATAAATAACAGAGTAACACAAAATGACAACTACATTAACATTCCGAATTCTTTACTCTGGAGTAGTCAGATTTCTATAAAAAAAAGAATCTATGGAGCAATAATTGTAGAGCCGATATGAGATGCAGTAGAAACAGACTTTTTCAGACCGGCATGTAGAGAGAAATTCGAGGAAGAATATATAGAATTACCGAAAGAATAAACACCCGACAGCTCGTTAACATGGATAGATAATATGAATGATAGACGAGGAAGAATAAAGAGACCATAAAAAATGGCGATCAAAATGCGGGATGCGACAGAAGGCTGTAAGACCCTCGCTTTGATTGTTTTTATCAGGGTAGTTCGCAGAATAGACTGTTACTCTCAAATTGATTCTGGAGGATTTTCTTAACGGAATTATTTTGTTTTTTACATTATCAGCAGTTGTTATAAAAGGCAATCTGAAAGCAAAATAAATAAAAAATTAGCTTGCTTTTACCTGTGTTGCCAAAGTAGAGATATTCTTCATTTTCATAAAACTTTTTTCGCATCTTTCTACGGGTCCATAGACTTTGCGGATAATGTTCCATGTCGGCTTTCCGTATTTTTTCGCCATGTCTGGAAAAACAAATTACTTTACGACGAATCTATGACATAATAAATATATTTTATAATATTTTTTTTAGGGTCAAAGAATTTACTCAGTTCAAAGTTCGTATTGAAACCTCAGAAAATCTGATATTTTTCCAATGATTTTTCGATGTTACAATTTTTTATTAATGGGTGGTCACTATGGGTAAGGGTAGAAAGTAGAAACTACTTTTTTCTCCTAATGAGAAAATACTATCTTTCCAGAATTATTAATTGCCAGTTATAATTCTATTTATATTTTGGATCTAATGGTGCTATTTACTGTGGAAATTTCAGAAATAGATTTGGGTATGATAGAATGTTGTTTACGACATTGATTCGAAATGCATAATTTTTTATAGAAAATTAAATTGAAGCTGCTTTTATACGCTACGCCTCAAATAATCTTTCTCCAAAAACTTACGTTGCTTCGTGATTATTTAATCAACTACCTACTGATAATTTTAGTTGTCTCCCAGACAGCAAGTCTCCATTAAAGTCGATTACCTCTACACCGGCTTGGTGGAATTTTTCATATGTGTTTTAAATTAGAGCGTTATTGTTCCGATTACGCTAATATCTTGTTGTTCTTTGAAGGTCCAATAGTTCACACATTCCAGTTCTTTTTGTGCGCAATGTTTACACACGAGCGGTTATTGTCCCTCGATTGTGAAGTCAGAAACACACTTTATAGAAAAAGTACATAGAGGTTATTATGGTCAGTTTTGTGACTATCGAAAAGGGACCATATTATTGAGTCAAGTTATTCCAGATTTCCCATACCTATTTATTCATATAAACTTCCAAATCAGAAACTTGAAGTGATTTGTACTGAGTGAAATCGACTCAAATGAAGCCTGGTTTAAGCAAGATACCAGAGGCAGGTATAAGCCATAAGAAAAAACCCTACAGCTCAAAATGATAAATAATCACAAACTCTTGAAACAGTGCAGCAAAATATCGACAAGAAACAAATTTAATATTATCAAACTAAAAAAAAAACCTTTCCCTAGCGTAATAAAAGTTACAGGACGACGCACTTGAAAAAAATTATAAATCACTTGACAGCTACAGGTTTTATAAAAGAAAAGGAAAGGAACTTTGATATATTAGTAGTCCAAAAATGAAACAAAAAAAAAAACCTAAAAGTTCCCATTGAAGTTTGGAAAAGACCATATCAATATGAAAAAGAAGGTGTTTGTTGGTTAACACTACATCAAAGATCCAGCGGAGGTGTATTGGGTGACAAAATGGGTTTAGGAAAAACCGTCCAAATTATAGTATTCCTTCATGCACTCGAATATATGTCAATGTGCCTCAAAACATGGAAGATTTATAGGAGTTAGGAGTTGGTCTAACAATAATAGTTTGCCCAGCAACAGTTATTCAACAGTGGGTTAAGCATTTCCACGAATGGACCCCAGAGCTTAGAATAGCAATTTTACAATTTTTACACCAATCAGAAAGTCATCAAGGACAAAAATCTAAACTGATCAATGAATAAAAATAAATCAATAATTATAACTATAAGTGCAGGGATACTCAAAGACAAAGGCAATACCTAATAGTGAATACCACAGGCAATATTTAATAGTCTAGCTTTGATACTAGACATAAAATAAGAAATCCTAACGCGCAGGTCACTATTGCAGTTAAAGAAACTAGAACACCGCACCGAATAATGTTAACTTGCTTGACAGAACTTTGGAGTTTGTTTGATTTTAAAAATCCAGGAATGTTGGGGGGTTTGAAAATATTTACAGTAACTCCTATTTTACAGGGAGGCTTTACCAATGAAACTTCAATACAAGAAGCAACTACATATTCAGAAGCTTCAACATGGAAACATGATATTTTTTCTTTTAATTTGAGAAGAATGAAGGATGAAGTTAAAGAAAATATTCATTTACCAAAAGTTTCTCGTTTACCAAGTCCTATTTGGCTCTTTGACATATTGTCAAAAGAATTTGTATAAACATTATCTAATGAGCGAGCAAGTAATAATAATGTTTTGGAGAGAGGTATATCCAAGAATTGGAGGAGTGATCATTCAATAAAAGGATAAGGATACCTATGTATATTGATGATGATAACGGAGTTGAGAAAAATTTGCAATATTCCTGATTTACTGGTGTATGATGAAGACGAATCAATAAATGGATACAAAAAATCAGGTAAAATGGTTATTGTTTCGGCTTTAGTGAAAATATGGAAAAAGCCATATAACATTATTATTATCGCAAGTAAGATCGATAATTAGAGTAGGTATTTGAGAACTTTTTGGATAAACAAGGGTATGCATACTTAAAAATGGATGGCACTACTAGCATCGGCTCTAGGCAAGGATTAATAGATTAATTTAATGAAGATAAAAGCTATGATGTTTTTTTACTAACTACAAGAGTCGGCAACTGATACTCTATTACGTGGCAAAAACGGGCACTGCCACTTTGTTACCCGCAAAACGCGAGGGAGAAGTAAATAATGAAACTTGAAGGAAGTGAGACAGAGAATGGGTAACTAAAACAGAGAAATAAAAAGAGAAGAGCGAGGGTTGGTTGGTGGCTGAAATCTAGAAACGTGATTTCGTGTAAAGGGTTGCCGACTAGCTTCCAATACGGAGAGGGGTGTGGGTCAATTAAATAACTAAATATAGAGCGCCGCCTGCTTTTTCCCTGCAGTACACGAAATCAACCGATATAACGAAAGCAGGAAACTTCTACGGAGGACCTCTAGCAGCACAACCTGAAATATAAACGTAACCAAGAAGGAAGGACAAAAGTGAAACGCTTTGCTACAATCAGGTACGGGTTTTAACTAGATCCAGAAATGTAAACCAGAACAGGTTGACTCTAGAGCAGGTTCGGAGTGAGTTTTTCGAACGGCCTGGAACACTTAAAATTATTTACACTGGAACCAGAGCAAGAAAAGAAATCGTCTAGAAGTATCTAACGATATGTTCTTAAAATAATATTTACAATAATGATTAATTACACTCAACTTGAGTCCCTAAATAAAGAAATAAAAAGTATAACAATTAACGGCAATAATACCTGAAATATAAATTAATAAATAAGCTTACTAAATGCAGTACCTTCGTAAATGGCCATTTAACCCCAGTGTACAAATATTTCCTGTATTCAGTGCGGCATGCATTTATGGGACAGTTACAAGATAAATATAGATCAAAAATCAAAGCTGAAGTAACAATAAATAGCCTGAGGGGCAAATTTAATATTAGGCAATAATACAGAAGGTATAGATAACTACCTAAAATTGAAGTACCCAACAGTACCTACACAACCCGAATGGTAAATTTCATATAACAAAGGTAATAACTAATTGAAAATGAAATAACAACATCCAATCTGAAGGGCAATCTAATATTGTAGCAGAACTGCGTTGTTGTGGTGATTTACTCCAACAAGGGGTTGGTAAGGCTTGACATTAAGACAATACAATAAGAATACAAGACACTTATCAAACCTGAGCAGTTCCCAATTTCTAGAGGCGGACCTGAAGGACTGGATCAATATCTCCCAATGTTTCCGATGGCCTGGAACTGGATCAGGATTGCGACAAGAAACAACTGGCCCTGGGCACTGAAGTTCAGTAACTAGGAGTCACTAAAGCTTCCAATGGTCTAGACGAGGCTGAAGATTGTAGGTACTACTTGAAATATACAGTAAGCTTAACGTATAACTCTTTACTGAAAGTCAGGGACTAAAGCGTGACGAATAAAAGGTGACATCTAAAGGTAAAGGTCTGAAACAAATGGACTTTATGAGACTGGACGTGAAGCAATAGGTAGGTATGTCCAATATTCGGAATTTAACCGTATAATTAACAGAAAACTATGCTTTTACATAGGAAATAGAGAAACACAGAGAAGATTAATAAGAAAACCCACTTACCATAATTACTTTGGCCTTTAGGAACAAACAATTGGTCACGTTGCTCTTTTTCGACTCACAAAAAAAATCCGCACAAGGCGATTGGGTGCTAAAATAACGGATTAGCCACCGTAGATCTATGAGCGAAAACTAGACAACTCAGAAAATCGGCAAAATGTGCCTGAGGAATTTTCCCGAACACTTAATCGTGAAAAGTCCTCGACCTGAATGACCTCTGCTTGTCCCTGCAATGTCCTTTAAAAAGGTTCTGTCAAAAACTCCAAGGTGGAAGGTACTGGGGATTTTGATGGTAGTTGGGGCATGGGACTTATTCAGATTAAGTTAGTACCGGTCATTGACCCTATTTGGAGCGCTGTCAATCTAGTCAATCTACTCGGATCAGACAATCAGCTGTTCTAATTGTAAATATTGTAATTTTGTTTGTTAATAAATTAGTTTACTATTTATTTTAACCCTACTAACAGGAAATCAATTCCATTAATAAACCTCTAACTTAATGATTCTGGGAAGAATGAAAAGTTTGACGAAAAGTTTGGCCACAACTATTGAAAAGTCAACAGTGACTTGACGAAGGTATGCTATTCATTGAGGCGAATACGCTCATTTCCCTTTATTTTGGCCCAGGAAAAATCATCCCGTAACAACTCAAGCCAGAGAACGTGCATAGACAAGACAAAATCTGGTACGAATTACAGACTTTCTTTGTGCAGGCACTTTAGAAGAAAAAATATATCAGACAGACATGGAAACAATTATTGAGCAATAAAATACCTATCAATAATTGATCCAACAATAACCAATAAGTTTTTCTGATTTGTTTGATTTATTTTTTTTTTGCCAGAAAATTCACAACCCAATCCTAAGACCGCGAATATTTGTAGAGTCTAGAGTGTTGATTCAAGTGAAATGTGAAGAAAAAAAGAGGTTGAAAAAGGAGAAAAAGAAGATGGATATTGTACTGATAGAGGAAACAAGTTAAATTTTCAGGTGATAAGATACAAGTTATGAAGAATTTAGCACAGCAAATTGCTAGAAATATTAATAAAGGAGTCACCACAACAAATATTCGATTAC